CTCTCAAAATCAATGGGAAAAATGGAAATATCTTTGGGTGAGGATTAACAAAGAAAAGAAAAGAAGTAAAAGACACGAAGCCACCTGAGCCAGGACCCGCACCCAGAGCAGGAAGCCAGGGTGGCCCCAGACGCCGGCGAGCTCAGTTCTGACCTCCCCTCATGCAAAGACCAAAGTACGGACGCCTCCGGGTTTGGTCCTCTGATGAAATAAATGAAGGAAAAGGGTGCCTGATGCCACCCCAGGTTCTGAACTCAGTAGAAGGGGAGTCCTCCCTTGGCCACTGACTGGAGGGGGCAGCCTGGGGGTGGGAGGCACGGTTAAAACCAGCACAAACAGCTTCTCCTGCCTTAGAAGCGGCGAGGCCGGGACCCCTGTGACGAGGTGGCTGCCCAAGCCAGGCGCCAGGGGAGACCCCTGACCCCGGACAGAATCCCCGTTCTCCCCGTTCTCCGCGGCTCCAGGCTCTGCTAGGCTCACCCGCTGACGGAGATGCAGGCGGCCCCCATACAACTGGCGTTGAGGGGTGAGCGTGGGCAGTGCCTGTGCACCTCGGGCGGGTAGAAGTCCCTCCTTTAAAAACAGGTTTTTAATTTTTTAGAGAGGAAGGGAGAGGGAGAGAGAGAGAAACATGGATCGCCTGCCTCCTGCATGCCTCCTGCTGGGGGTGGAGCCCACCACCTGGGCATGTGCCCTGATGGGGAATCGAACTGGTGACCTCTTGGCGCCCGGGATGGCGCTCAACCAACTGAGCCACAACCAGCCTGGGCGGCAAAGGTCTCTTAAAGGAAAAGACTGGTGAGTTAAAGGTCATGAAAAGTGAGCTGTATTTAGCCCCAGCTGGTGTTCTCAGTGGTTAGAGCGGCAGCCCCGACCCCCAAGGTTTCAGGTTTGATTCCTGGTCAAGGGCACACACCTGGGTGGCTTGTTCGCTCCCTGCCCCTGGTCAGGGCGAGTGCGGGAGGCAGCCAATCAATATGTCTCTCATACCAATGTCTCTCGCTCCCTCCCTCCCACTCTCTGAAAAGCAATGGGAAAAATATTCCTCAGGTGAGAATTAACAACAAAACAAAAACACATCACAAGCAGCTTAATGTTAGTGACACATATACATCTTAGCCCCACAGAGGCCTACCCCCTCTCTCCCTTCTCTGCTGG